AAAAAAACTGCATCTTTCAAAAGGATCGATGCAAGTGTGTATTACTTTGCAAAAGGGCGCATTTGGACCTCTATACTTATCTAAATGTGCTGAAACCACCTGACTGTCAATCATTATTTAACTCTCATGGAATTTCACAGATTAACCACAAACGATCACAATCGCTCTTCACTTCAACTTTAATGCCCAAGTTACTGGGGGAATTTTATCTCTTGAGCATTTTTCCTGCCCCTGCTTTGGCAAGCCCTTCTCACCTGCGTCTTAGTCAACATATTTTCATTTGGGCACTTTCTTGTACGTTGAGAAGGAGAACAATCAGTGAAAGAGTTGGGTAGGTGGCTGTGGCCACTGTTGAAAAGATCTTTGAACCTCATTTATCAGACGTAGGTGCCATTTCTCTGGAATGCGAACCTCTTCCGTGCGATCTTAATAAATTTTACGAAGCCCACTTAAATTCACGAATGAAAGCGAACGTTCGCGTTCCAGATACTTGCATTGATAAAGAAGAATGACTGTCGAACACCGGATCAGGTTTTTTCATAATTCTGAGCTTTCAGGCTCTTGCGGGAGTCCATCATCAGAGATAAAAGCGTATACGTAAAGCAAGCAATAGTTATAGGGAGCAGGAACTAATCAGCCGTTATACGGGGGGGAGGTAGAAGGGAGGGAAGGTGGAGGGAATTCATTTATCAACAGTGTCGGCCGTGCAAAGATGCCTGCGAGGAGCGATCTATGTCAGCGCCAGATCGATCGATCGATTGACTGGGTTCTCATTCGAGGCCCAGACTTCAATAAATTCTTGGCCTGTCTTGCTGTTGGCGTGGACGATTATCTTCGCATCTGCGAGGTTAAACTCATGATCCGTCTCGTAGGTGTGGGCCGCCACTTGTGACAAAGCGTCACCCCTTCTGACTGCCAGCTTATGTTCATGTATGCGCGAACCAAGCATGCGTTTGGTTTACCCTGTATAATTACAAGGACAGCTTAGGCACGGGATGCGATACACCCACTGCAGTAGGCCGGAGGAAAAGGTACGCGAAGCCCGATATCTCCGTGACCAATTTATTCGAAAGGGTTATCCAAAAGCATTTATAAACCGTTGCCTACGTGTTCGGTCTCGGAGGACCCAAACGGAAGAACCACCGAGGATATGGTACGCTCTGCCATAAATCAAGGACGTCGCAGAAGCGACTGAGCGCATCGCTGCGAGACTAGGTGTTGAATTGCACACAGACCCAAGGCTACCATGCGCAACCGGATAATGAAAATAAAAGACCGGCTGAACCCCAATGAACAATTTGGGGTAGTGTATCGCATAGAATGTCTAAGCTGTCCTTGTAATTATACAGGGTAAGCTGAACGCATGCTCGGTTCGCGCATACATGAACATAAGCTGGCTGTCAGAAGGAGTGACGCTTTGTCACATGTGGCGGCCCACACCTACGAGACGGGTCACGAGTTTAACTTCGCAGCTGCGAAGATAATCGTCCACGCCAGCAGCAAGACAGGCCGAGAATTGATTGAAGCCTGGGCCTCGAATGAGAACTCA